CTTATGCTCTAATAAATTTGTTAGTCTCTAAGGTGCCACAAGTCCTCCTGTTCTTCTTTTTGCGGATACAGACTAACACGGCTGTTACTCTGATACCTTTGACAGTGTCCTTTCAACACCAATTGCTTGTAGGCAGGAAGGTGCATTAAGTTTGCCCTATTTTCATACCTTTTTAATGGTTGGAGAATACCCACTCCTGTTTCAAATAAAACCAGTTTCCTCGAACTAGATATAAATCATTTAGGACTGCATGCTAAGCAATAAGCATGAGCCACATACTCTCCTTTTGGATGGATCTGGATATGATAACAACCTGGACCCTCCTTAGCAAGCTCCTCTCTGTACTTTCAGAGAGCAAAACTCACTGTGAAAACATTTGTTGTATTTGTGTCAAACAGTTCACACTGTAACCCCTTCTGATTACTAATAAGGAGTAGATCACTGATCAATCAGTTTTCTTTAGGACTTTGGTTTACATCTTATAAACATTTTTCCAAAGGAAAAAAATGCTTTACAGTAATCCATGTTACATCTGCCTGCATTTTGTATTATACAACTCTGTGACAGTTGTACATTTCAGCTGGCACTTAAATGCTAAAGACTTTCCTGGGACTTTTCATTCTGGCTTCTTTTTTATGCTCCAGATGTTGCAATTTATAGAACTCGTTGAAAACTGCTTTGATACTGTAACGATCCAGAGTACTGTCATATCCCCATTAAGATTTAAAAAAATAAAAGACAGCAGGCACGTACACATACACACACACCCACCCACCCACACAACAGAAGAAGAATAAAATAGGCACCTCATTCACTCCCTCATTTCTGCATGGTTCGTAGTCTGTTGTTCTCCTGTGTTAGGATCAGCCCCTTTCTGTGTACGTTTTCCTGACCTACATTTTATTATCAGGTAGCTGCGGTTACATTTTTTTATTTCATACTCTACACCAGGCACAAATGAGGAAGGCAGAAAGAGCCAGCTCCTAACGGCCACATGGTGGAGCATTAAAGAAAGAAACAAATGCTTGCTACATTTAACTCATTGATGTTGCAGTTTACCTAAGTAGAAACTATTTTTTATATATATACACACACTCTCACACACACACACACATACACACACACACAAGAGAGTGAGGGCTTTTTATTGGGTTGTGGGTGTGTTGATGTGTGCATAAGAGATTTTACTCTGCTGATATTGGAATGCTTAGCCAAGCAGCTGGAGCAGATCTGGAAAGAGACCTACTGAGATGACCATGCCTAACATCAGCCACAGTTGCAGTGGTGTTAACAGTGTTTGGTGCAGTAGCAGCAGCAACCAGAGACATGGACAAGAGCAGAATTTGAGTCCCACTGGCCACCTGATCACAGCCATCTGCCTTGGCATCATCGGGAGCCTGGGCTTCCTCAATAATCTCTTGGTCCTGATACTTTTCTGCCGGAATAAAGTGCTATGGTCTCCGATTAACCTGCTGCTGATGAACATCTCTGTGAGCGACATGATGGTGTGCATCATGGGCACCCCCTTCAGCTTTGCCGCCAGCACTCAGGGACGCTGGCTCATCGGGCCAGCTGGCTGCATCTGGTACGGCTTCGTCAATACCCTCTTTGGTAAGTGGCACCCTCCTGCTCTGGTGTGCACCTAGCATGCCACCGCCCCTCCTGCATGGTTTAGAGCCTCTCCCAGATCCATGCACACAGGGAGGCGCTAGGGCACCTTACCACACAATTCACCCCCCACAGCCTCCCCAGCCAGAGCTCCCAGCACTGAACAGGATTTGCATAAGAAAGCCCTGCACTCCTTGCCCCACTACAAATAGAGGTGCTGAGCTGCTGCCCCCATCTAACTCCACACACCATGCAGCAGTGAGCCCATTCACTACCTGTGCCCTAGTTCACTGCTTTCCTGTCAGACTTTGTGCCCCTCACTGCAGTGTGGAAAAGCAAGCAACAGAGAGCACCAGCACAGACACTTCCCCCCGCCCCAGACATGACAGGCTCACATTAGGGTGGTGTGTGGGGAAGGTGTGTGTGGAGGGAGGTGAAGGGCTGTGGGGCTGTATGTGTGTGGGGGGGAGAGTGAAGGGTTCTATATGTCTACCCTGCACACTAAGCCTGGGCTCTGACTAAGATTTGAGCCCAAGCCCTGCTTCCATCCACACACAAATCAGTCTGACTTGGATCAGCAAGCACTCAGCACCCAGGTCCCAGAACCTTGCTAGGGAGCTAAGTCCTGCTGCAACTCAGGTCCAAGCCCTGTCACGTTGCAGTTTGAACACACTTCAAGCCACAGATCTGAGTACAGTATGGGCATGGTAGCACAGCTGAGAGACCCAGGGCAAGCAATTGAAAACCCAGGTTTACTATGCAGTGTGGATTCTCAAGACTGGCTTGGAAACACTGAGTCTTCAGGACTAGGTCCCACAGACCCAGGCTTTTCAATGCAGCGAAGAGATATTCTGTGTGTTGCGGGGGGGAGGAGGGGAGGAGCTGAAGGGTTTTGGGTCTGTATATGTCTCTGTAAAGGATATGTGAAAGGCTGTGGGACTGTGTCTGTATAAGGGAAGGGATGAACTGCTGTGGGAATGGGTGTATGTGGGGTGAAGAGCTATGGGACTATATGTGTGTGGTGAGGGAACTGAAGGGCTGGGGGACATTTGCGTGGGGCAGAACAACGGTGTGACTGCATGTGTCTTTGGAGGAGGCGTGAAAAATTATGGGACTGAGTAAGTGTGTGAAAGGATAAAGAGCTATAGGGATTTTATACATGTCGGGGGGTGATAAAAGGTTGTGACACTATATTTGTGTGGAGCAGTGAAAGGCTGTGGCACTGTATGTGTGTGAGAGGGGAGGCAATCTTCCCCACTCACAATTTTGTCATGCTTGGCATTTTCCTTACATTTCCAGCTCCTGGAGTCATGCGAGTAAGTAAAAAACCCAACTTTCACTTTGTTTTTAAAGAGGAAGTGTATAGCTCTCCTCATGGTTGTGGAGGAAACTTGAAAACATGATCGTTAGAGGACCAAAAAGCAGAAGGCAAATAAACTTAAAATGTATGATATTGTTTAAACCTCATAATTTTGGGGACTGGAAATGTGATTTTCTTTAACTTTTGGGGTTGACAGTACTGGGATGGGGAAGGAAGAAGCTGTGTGTGTGAGAGAGAGAGAAAGTGAGAGGGGAAGAGGAATGGGAGGGTGTAAGATAGAGAAGGCAAGAAGGAAGCAGGGGTTGTGTGAGGGGGAGAGAGAGAAAGGAAGGAGAGTGAAGGCACATGTCTGGAAAGTGAAGAGCTGTGTGTGCAGAAACCTGAGGAGAGCATGATGGGCTGTGTGTGTGTCTGAGGAAAGGCGGAAGGAGTGTGGGGCTCTCTGTGTTAGGGGGACACTAAAGAGCTGTGTACCTGAGGGTGCCAAAACGCTGTGTGAGGAGAATCTGGGGGATGTTGATGAAGAGTGGACTGAAGAGTGCTTTGGGGAGTTGGAAGGCTGGGCTGTCAATGTAAAGGGGTTTACTGAAGTGCTGGGGGTGCTGTGAGGTGGAAGTAAAGACTCTAGATGTGATTGTGGGAAGGGAACTAAAGGCTATGAGATCTGAAGGGGTTAGAGGACTGAGAAATAGGAGCGATGGAAGTGTAAGACCTACAAAGTAGGAAAGGGGACTCAAGAGAGCTGCATCATCTCCTCACATACTGAGGGGAAACACTCAGAGAAATCTCATTTCATCAAACTAGGGATAAGTCAGGGCGATTGTAGGGAGAGAAGAGGAGAGGAAGAGAGAAGGGTGCAGACCTGCAAAAATTAGCAGGATGAGGGAAGAGAGAGAGACCCCAGAAGAGAGGTTCCCCAAAAGGGAGGTGGACGGTCTGATAAATATGGCAATTTCCTGCAATATCCAGGACAATCCTTACAGAATTAAGTTTCAGGATCCTTTCAGTTCACTGTATTAAAATGAAAATGTTTATTTATTATTGTGGGATTGTATGTAATGTCCCTAGGGAGGGGACCTGAGTAATGTAAACCCTGGAAAGTGTAATGAGCTTCAAAAAGACTAATTGAAACAATGTGCTTAAAGTTAAATGGGTTTCCTGGGAAATCTCTTGGGGGAGGGGTATGTAACTATAACCCCTCCAGTTATGCAGGACGTCAGCCCTGTGAACCTTTGCCTTGAGGAGGAGGCCCATTGTCTATGAATTACCTATTCCCCAATCAAAGACCCAAAGTGTATCAAGGAAGGAGGGACTCACAGCTTTGGAGACAAGGTGGTTATGAACTTATGACCACAAACAACCCCATGTTAGGGTCTGAAGGACAGTTCGTCTGTCAGAGCCCTGGTCAAAATTGGGGTGATCTCTGGTAAGCTTATTAGCATGCATGGAGGTTCTTTCATTGTTTTTAATCTGTGTTCTCTGCAATGCTTTCACCTTACGAATAACCATGCTTACTTAGAAAGAGCTGTGTGGGAACTTTACTGTGAGCAATTACATTTTTTATAGCTTTCGAGAAAGGAGGGTAAGCAGGCCTGATAAAGCAGAATGCCTTGCTGGGGAACTCACAGTGTAGGCAGGGAACTGTGCAGTCTGGAATTACCCTGGCCAGGAGGAAGGGAGACATATGTCTCCACCCAAGACAGGTGACAGCTGGGAGCCAGCAGCCTAAGAGTGGGTGTGCCACCCACTGCAGGGGAATGCAGGTGCAGTTGCCCTAAACGGAGACAGACTTATGCTGGGTGTCCACATACAAGCCCATCTAACCCTGGCTCTGTACTTAGATGGCTAGGCAGAGCTGCCAGCTGCGCTGCAACATCCACACTGCTATTTTTAGCATGCTAGCTCAAGCAGAGCTAGCGCATGTCTGTCTACCCAGGCTCTGAGGCTTCGTCCCAAGTGCAGTGTAGGTATACTCAAAGTCATTCCAAGGTATCTGTAACTTAGACTGGCACTTAGGGCTGTCTGTGGTATGCCCCAGGCTGCTCTGGGTAGTCCAAGATTGGGAGGGCAGAAAGAAAGCTTCAAGCCACCTTAGCCTGCCCGTGGGATGTGAGTTCTGTGCTGGATCGCTATGGGTATGTCTACGCCGCAATCGCAGGATGGGATTGCAGCTCATGTGGACATACCTAATCTAGCTTTACTCTAGCTAGGTTGGGTGTCAGAGAAGTGGGCTTGGACCCTGGCTAGTTACTAGCACACCCTGCAGCTTCACTACTCTGGTACCCAAGCAAGCTGGCTTAGGAATGTCTACACATGCTGCAATCACACCCCATGACTGCAGTGTAGGCATATGATTAGAGAATTCCTTTGCAATCAGTAATAATTTATCTGCAGACAACTGTTAATCAGGTGCACAAACCAACCATGTTATTATTAGAATGATGTTTGGTAACACATAATAAAGGTAACATTCAAACAAATATTTATTTTCATGGATTGTAATTACTGTACAAAAATGCCTGCTAGACAGAAACCTGCTATATTAAGTCCTAGCTCAAATTAAATATTCATAGTATTTAAATAAAAATATATATATGCTTGGTGAGGTTTTTATGTTCTGGGAGGGGGGAATTTTGCAATCCAATAGCAAAAAAGAGGTTATATTTAAAAGATGAAAGTGACACTATCTAATGGTGCCATTATGCTATTCTAGGGGGTCTGCAAACCAACCCACAGATCTTTGCATGTCTCTATGAGTGACGTTGGACTAGATTGTCCCCTCCCACAAAGCAGAGCAATGGGGGCAGACATGGAATTTTCAGGATATCATCCCTTGAGGTGGGAGGGACTAGTGGGGTGCAAAGTGGGCCGGGGGATGTGGCTTTCAATCCCAGAGGATTCTGGGACTCAGCATAGAAGGGAATGCTGAGAACCAGGGAGACAGGGAAGTGTGTGGCTCCTCTCTGCTAGCATGACTTATTCAGGCATCATCTTCCTTTGACTAAATCTCACATGGCTGTTCAGGAGCAGCTGCCAAGAGTTAGCATTGCTTCAAGCAGTACTGACTCCTGAGGGGATTTCTGAACAGAAGTACATTGGCTCAGCACTATATGATGCCTTACAGGCATCTGATCCTGTCTTCCACTGCCTTCCAGGCCAGTCAGCACCCTAAAACCCAATGGAGACAATGTTCCATAGAGTGCCAACAGAATAGTTCCTACAAGGCATGGGGGAAAGAGGGCACAATACTTCACGGCCATAGCTCCATCCTCCGTGCTTTTCACACAGAATTTACTAGATCTCACATCCTACTGCAGAAAGAATGATGTGGAGCATTGGAATTAGTTGTGTACTGATGTTGCTTCATATTCTTGGAGCATGAGGCAGGAGCAGTGCACAATCTGCACAAATGCCAAGATGCGTTGAAACAGGAATCAATTTAAATTTCCAGACAATATGTTAGCAGCAATCCTAGACAATATTAAAGAATGGGTAATTTACTGTCTGAACATTTTCCCATTCTGACAGAGCTAAGATATTCGATTGTTATTGATTGAAAATATCAAGAACAATCAGGACTGCTTTCAGGCAGGCAGGCAGATTAGGAAAAGGGTACTCAAAGAAAAGACAAAATTATTTGCCGGCTCTTGAGCCTCTGCAGTGAAGAAGGTAGGATCTCAAA